TTTTGATAGGTTAGCAGGTATAAATATGAAGTAAAGGGTGATACGGTCAAAATTTGGTCAATATCAACTTGACGTATTTCTTTCAATTTTGCATTTAAAAAAACCTGAACACCCCTCATTTTGAAGGTGTGTGTGTGTAGAATGTTGCTCCTATTTTGATTTTGGAATTCACTCTTCAGTTGTCAAAATGCCGTCCAAGCAAGAAGAGCAGCGTATCAAAATTTTGCTCGCGCATCGCGAAAATCCGAGCTACTCGCACGCAAAGTTGGCAAAATCGCTAAAAGTTGCCAAATCAACCGTTACAAATGTAATTAAAGTGTTTGGGGAACGTTTGTCGACAGCCAGGAAGTCTGGATCGGGGGGAAATCGAAAACCGGAAGCCGCTGAGACGACAAAGAGAGTTGCCGGTAGTTTCAAGCGAAACCCTAACCTCTCTCTCCGAGATGCCGCAAATAAGCTGGGTGTATCGTCTACAACCGTGCATCGAGCCAAAAAACGAGCCGGACTATCGACTTACAAGAAGGTAGTGACTCCAAATCGCGATGATAAACAAAATACGACGGCCAAAGCGCGATCCCGGAGGCTGTACACGACGATGCTGACGAAGTTTGACTGCGTGGTAATGGACGACGAAACCTACGTCAAAACCGACTACAAGCAGCTTCCGGGACAGGAGTTTTATACGGCAAAAGGAAGGGGAAAGGTAGCAGATGTTTTCAAGCACATGAAACTGTCAAAGTTCGCAAAGAAATATCTGGTTTGGCAAGCCATCTGTACCTGTGGCTTGAAAAGCAGCATTTTCATAGCTTCCGGGACTGTCAACCAAGAAATTTACGTGAAAGAGTGTTTGAATAAACGTCTGCTGCCTTTCCTGAAGAAACACGGTTGTTCCGTACTGTTTTGGCCGGATTTGGCATCTTGCCATTACGGTAAAAAGGCCATGGAGTGGTACGCCGCCAACAACGTGCAGGTGGTTCCCAAGGACAAGAACCCTCCCAACACGCCAGAGCTCCGCCCAATTGAGAAATACTGGGCTATTGTCAAGCGGAACCTAAAGAAGACCAAAAAAACTGCTAAGGGCGAGCAGCAGTTCAAGGCAAACTGGCTTTCTGCGGCGAACAAGGTGGACAAGGTGGCTGTACAAAATCTGATGGCAGGGGTCAAGCGTAAGGCCCGGCAATTCGGATTTGGAAAAGCGGAAGCCTAACTGAATATTTTTCCTGAATTTTATACTAATTGAACTTGAAAAAGAAATTTAATTTGATTTTTTAAATAAACGATTTCACCGATTTACACGCGTTTTCCCTTGACCAAATTTTGACCGTATCACCCTTTACCTAAGCTCGTTGAAGTCATTCTTGTAACGAATTTTGGAGGAGACGGACCATCACCAGCAGCAGAAACAGCAGCAGCAGAAACAGCAGCAGCAAATACAGCAGCAGTAAATTCGTGTAGCCGTGACCGAGGCTGGAAACCTCGGTCCAGTCACGACAATGGCGCAGCCGGTAGCAGCATATAGTGTAAAAATGAGTATAGTGAGATAATAAAAAACAAAAAAAAAGAAAATTTTCGCAGCATACTCACCATGACCTGATGGATGGTAAATAAGAATTACCATGACCTGATGGATGGTAAATAAGAATTACCATGACTTGATGGATGATAAATAAGAATTACCATGACCTGATGGATGGTAAATAAGAATTACCATTACCTGATCGATGGTAAATAAGAATTACCATGACCTGATGGATGGTAAATAAGAATTACCATGACCTGATGGGTGGTAAATAAGAATTACCATGACCTGATGGATGGTAAATAAGAATTACCATTACCTGATGGATGGTAAATAAGAATTACCATTACCTGATGGATGGTAAATAAAAATTGATACGACATGCTAGATGGAAATGCGAACTGAAGAAATTTACCGGAGTGAAAGGTCTCCGAGGCAAAATATGTATTATTTTACGAAACGAGAAAATTCAAGGCAAGATAGATAGTATAGTGGATGGTAAATAAGTATTACCATGACCTGATTGATGATAAATAAGAATTACCATGACCTGATGGATGGTAAATAAGAATTGATACGACATGATGGATGGAAATGTAAACTGAAGAAATTTATCATGACATGAAGAATGGTAAACTATGCTTAAATAATAATAAGGATTCTTGAAAATTTCCGGAGTGAAAGGTCTCCGAGGCAAAATAGGGGAAATGTCTCTAATTGTTGGCCTATGTATCTAATGTTGGGCCCATCGCTAAAAATCTGCTATTTATCAATTTTATCTAGATGAACGCGTTATTGGGACGTTACTAATGGATATTTTTGGTTACTATTGAAAATTTAGTCGATTGCTGAACGGTAAAATCATTGATATTATTGATCTTTTCGGAGAACGGAAATGAGCGATTACGACGAAGTAACGCTGTACCCTATTTCATCTTTTTTTTTTTCATCGAAGGTCCAAGCGACGATGTCAAAATCGGCACAGAAAAGGGTTTGTCAACGACAACGTGGAAGCGCTAGTTTACCGAAGGATCCAGCAAATTTCGATGAAATCATCGACTCGTTCACCAAGACGTTCGACGGCTGAAATTTTCTACTGGCCAATTGACAAATCCAAGTTTATGCCGGCCACCGCGGTGCTGTAATCGTCGCGGTGATGAACTTGAGATCATCTGTCAAACTGCATATATTTTCAAGTTTGTGATAAGAAAACTATGTTTTACGTGTTATTGTAATTGCTTTATTCAATAACAGAAAGCACATAAGAACAGAAAAGTAACGCCAGTAAGAATGGTAAGTGAATCCTAATTTTTAAAAGCAAAATTATTGAGATTTCTTCAAAATGAAAAATATGTTGCTCCCAGCAAAACATTAACAAATAATGTTAACAATATTTTTGCAAACCTTCAGGATCATCCCATTAGAGATTGAATTAAATCAATTAGTTTTGCTGTTTGAGGTGAGTTGTTAGAACAATTTTACATATTGAAACAATCAAAACAATACATTGTTCCATCCGCAGAAACATCATCTTTCCCTATAGCTGAACCTGAATCTTTCCTATAGCTGAAGGAATATAGCTGAACGGAAACACTTGCTTCTCTGGCATAAATAGAATCTCTCTGGTAAGTAGAATTAGATATTTAAGTGCTAAATTATTGAAATAGCATTAAAATAAAAAAAAATCGTAGAACAAACATGATAAAACCAACTAAATCCCTGCATGCTTCGATCGATGGTTGCAAATCGTATCCGAATGCAATCCTACCGTATTAAACCAGCAACCAGCATCGGGTGCCTGCATTGGAATGCATTTTGCAAAGGGGCTCTTCTATTCTTATTCAATTTGGTTGGTCACGCTCTAATTAAAAATACCATAAACGAACGATAACCCAAATCATTGGAATGTGGAAAATGGAATCATTTTTGCGTCGATTCAACTCTCAAGGCCCTCGCACATTAGATCCGGATCGGACGCGTTGCGGTAAAATGACAGCTGTCAAATTAACGTCAACGTAACGCAAACGGATCTAAAGGCCGGCGCACAATGGGTACGTTTTCAGGTTTTTTGACAGTTAGCCCATGCATTATCTGTCAAAAACCCGAAAACGTATGCATTGTGCGCTGGCCTTATACCCCGTTCACATTACAACGTATATCACGTGATATACGCTGTCTTGCAATGAGCACTCATACATCTAGTTTTCACTGGAAATCCTTTGTATGAGTGTTCATTGCAAGACAGCCTATATTACGTGATAATAGTGTGTAGTGTAAATAGTGTAGCAATATCAAAGGAGCTTGTAAAATCAATGTCAAGCATGAGCGTATGGGAACGGAAAAATATTAACTGCCTTGATAACAATAATGTTAAATAGATTGTACGAAATTACAAAGTTTGATACCAGGTTAATCATTATCATTGACAAAAAAAAATGAATGAGTTTTTAACGAAGGCTATGTTAGAGTATTTTTTTCCTGTGACAATGACAAAAATAATTCTGTCAATTTCGTGTGAAAACGTCAATAACAATTACAATTCTCAGCACTGCGAGTGTGTGTGCTACAATTGAAAAGCTGTCTTGACCAGGGTTTCATGAATGTTGTTTTAGCACCCTTATACCACAAACGAAGTGACAGACGACTAACTGGCGAAGAAATCCATTTAAATAATGTGGTTCACTGTAATAGAATTTTCTTGGAAGCTTGTGCCATCATCCACCAGATGGGTTAGTTTTTTTGTTTTGATTTGAACAAAGTTGATTTTGTGTACAATGATTCTTTGACAGTGTGCAAAGAGTGCGTATCATTTTGTCATTTATTTATGCATTTCAGTTTTGAATAGAGTGGATAGAACCAAAACATTCTAATACATTTGGTGAAAATTCTAGTACAATCCAGTAGTAGTGTTGCCATGTGGTACAATCCAGTAGTAGTGGTGTTGTCATGTGGTACACTGAAAAATTGAAATAGCAGGTTAGTCACCAAAGTTTTCGAGCCGCTCCGTCTGTCACTTTGTTTGTGCTTATACTGCAATTTGATGCATAAGCAGCCCATAAGGATTGTATAGATCAGCGGACAGTTAAGGGTATAACCATAGAGGTAACTCTAAGGTCCCGAAATAACGTGCTCAACTTTTTGGCTCAGCTCTGGTACTCTCTTCGGTCCCAAGCTAATCGATTCACTCCTCGAAACATAGGAAAAACCAATAACCCCTCATTTTATCTGTCAAACTTTCATAGCGAATCAAAACAAACATTGCTTAGTACTAGAATTTCGACTAGAATGGGGTGCGTTAATCGTTTGCTTGGGACCAATAGGCTAGTCAAGTAGTGAGCCAATTTAAAATCATTAGTTTCGTATTGATTGTTGGTATAACGGAAGTATAACACTTACAACACATAAAACTTAAAATGACACTTGGGTTAAGAGACTTTCATATTTATGGTCGGTCATCAACGTAAATTAAAAGTCGTTGGAATATTGTTATCTCATATTTTATTATCCTCCTTCAAATTATTAGTGTTGCTTGTTTACAGAGCATTTTCGACTCAATTAATTTGCTTCTTCTTATTCTTCTCCATTTTCTTCTTCCCGGCGCTATCTCTCATTCTACAAACAGATATTTGGGGACGATTTTTTGGTTTGGTTGACTCTAGATAGAAACAGTTTCTCTTCTTTCATTTCATTTGCGTGAGAGTGGGTTCGATTTTCCGCTGCGGTACGCTCTCTTGCATTTAGTTCACTCATTGTTTTTAGCCTGTAAGAATTAACGACCGCTGTGAGACGGTTCGAAAAATTTAAACATGTCCATCAACGAAGCGCTAGGACGTTCGGCCAGAAGCTTGCACATTTCAGGAATCGAAAATGGGTGTTCGGTTTGAGTTTTGCTCCAATCAACGAATTTCATTGTTCATAAATCATAGGGTGTAAATTATTGTGCTGTTCATATAGATGTTGTTTTTGGGTGTTGGAAAATTGAAAACGAAATCATATCCAGAATGTTGGTTTCTAGTTGTGTCGTGTGTCCTTCCTGACTTTCTGATTAACTGTCATTTCCGGTTGAATATGTTTGACACGTTCTATTCTAGTTGGTTGTTTTTTTTTTCTTCTTTTTTCAATGAAAAAGGGACGTATTCATCTACGAATCAATCATTACACTTACGAGTAACAATTAATTGTGTTTTCTGGTTTCTCATTGATAATACAAATTGTTATTCTTTTGTTTGTCTAAATGTCGCACACAAAACGATTCATTTTTTGTTTTCAATCTCCCCAATGTATGTGTATTGTTTTCATTTCTTATTTCTGACAGCTAAGTAGTTGGTTTGTTTTCTTCATTTTTTGTCTTGTATCATTTAGTGTTTTATCGTGTTTTATTTCTTAAAAAAGTTTCATATATAATAGTTTTGAGTAATATTTTGTTTGGAAAACGAACTGATGAAGAAACGAGCGGTTACATTTTGATTTAGCGTGTACTTTGCTGATATAATTGTTGCTTTTACTTGAGTAGTTTAGTGGATAGCAATCGTGTCAAACTAAGCGCTTTTCGTGATAAACTTGTTTTTGCTTTTGTTCGGCGTCAAATTTCAAGAGTGTTAGCATAACCGTCCTGCACATTGCTGTGTGTTTTAGTTTAGTTTATATTTATTCAACGTTATAGTTGTGACTAGATGTTTGTTTTATTTTAACTTCAAAAAGAGTTTTCAAACTTATCAAGAAACATAAATCTGAAAAAATAACCGTGTTGACTTGTTCAGTTAAATTAAATGACGCATTCTTGTAGTTTCCTAAGTAAACTATTCTGCAAATGTTTACAGTGTTACATTTATACGTGTTGTATAAATATTCTCGTTACATACTTTTACATGATATATAATCTATTTTTATTCTGCTTTTTTTTTTCTTTAAATACTTTAAGTCATTATTGTTAATTTTAGTGTTCTAGTAATATCAAATTCATTTTTTTACATAGATCTTATGTCTTCCCAATCAGCAAGTGAAGATTAGTGAGAAATGACCGGTTCGGGTTTGTTGAAGTGGTTATAGCGAAACAAATGTTACCGGAGTGAGAGTCACTTTTCTGAGGGCATAAAAGTGTATTGAAACAAAAGCTAGAGCGCCAAGCGTTGAATTCATCACAAGCAGTTCTGGCAACACTGAATGAATAATTTTTGGTTCTACTGCTGAAAATGGGGGATAACATGACATTTTGTTTTCAATATTTTCTCTTACATTTAATTACGCGCTCGCAAAAGTCTACAAAAATGGACGAATTTGAATTATCAGGATGCACATTTTTCCTCTTTGCGATACTTTCCATGATTGATGATGGTTTGCTTTGTGTTGTTTGTTGCTGTAATATGTTGTTCAAAAGTTTCTACTGCTCGCTACGTTGTTTCTCGGAAGAAGCTCTTTAATTGGTACACACATCTCATGGGCTACGATGCTTGAATTTAACACACCTTGTGTCTACACAACGAGGACGACATCTATAGTGTATGAGTGTGGTTTTTGTATCTGTTTTGCTGCCTAGCTTTGTTTTTTTTGTTTAAGTGAGTTTTAAACTGTCGAAGGAAAAATAAAACCCAAAAGCCTCGAAATTATTGTTTGCCTTGAAGCATGTGATAGTGAGTGTCTTATTGTTGTTGTAAATATATAGTTTACCCTTTATTATTGTTAAGATTATATAAATATGAAATTTCAAAGCGTATAGCAGGCTTGTTACAAAAAATATATATATTTTTGATAGTTTTTCTATTACCATTTTCCGGTTTACTGATCAAAAAAGCTATGTTACTTACAATTATTGTTTTTGTTCTTTTTTTTGCTTTGTCATGTTTTCTTTGTAATAATAACTAATTAGCTACTTAGCTATCTAACTATGAGTTAGGGATGAAGAGGGGTTCTGCGCGATGTTTTAGATTGCAGAGCAAGCTGTCCATTTTTAAACCCTCGTTAGCAACTACGATGTATGGGGATGTGCCAGAACAAAAACGTGTAGCCTCTCACTACTATATGCATAAAGTGAGTGTTGTTAGTTGTGAAAATCGCCCAAACAGGATGCGGTTATATATTTTCTGGTAACGGCGGCATCCTTCTTTGATGGTTTATTATCAATCCGCTTCTCCCACTTCTCCCTTCTGCATGTTTTCTTACAAATTAATATCTTGCGGGCAAATTTACAATTACAATCACACTATTTAACGATAGTTTAGTACTTTCCTTCATACAAAAAATTCAAACTTCCGAACGTAAAATACTGACCTTACTTAATCTTACTTATCTTTGCTTTTGTTTTGCGTCAGTTGTTTGCTGTCCTGCTCTTCGTTCTCTTCTTCTATGGAATATATGTTTCACCATTGCAGCAATTTCGAACCGAGATCAAACAGAATAACGTAATTCATTTTGTTTTAAACATATCTGTGTTTTTGTCAACGTTTACAGTAATATTCAATCGGTATCCGTTGAAAACGATTTCATACAATATCATTCCGTAAAATGAGTGCCTAGATCTACTGGCATGTAATGCGGTGCGTAAATTATTCCTTTACTTCAAAGTACTTGTAGGTTGGGTTTTCGTACCCGTTGATTTGCATATTAGCCACGTGCCGCTCCTCCGGCGTGATTGGCTGTCCAACGGCCTGTGTAAATACAAATCATTTAATCATTGAATATTCATCATAGCACAACATTCTACACCTACCTGATCAACCTCGACAAATCCTTGAGCATGAGGTGACCGCGAAGCCTTCCACTTGGCGACGGCAACGCCCACAAACACTGCCCCCATCAGGGCGACTCCGGCGAACCCGAGTGTGAAGTACACATTCTTGCCATCGTGGCCGGAACCGTAGATCTCTCGTCGGACCGAGTAGCTCTGAAAATTGAAACCAAGGGTCATGGATGTGGATTACTTATTGCGTATTTTAGTGATCCTAGAACATGTTATAATTGAAGTAATTTAAACTGGTGGCAAAAACATACAATATAGAACATCGCGCTCGCATTGTACACGCAGCTTGAGAATATCAAGAATTAAGTAAGTGTTCCGTGCGCTCTCAACTGTTCTCAACTTTTGGTATAACCTGTTATTGTTGTCGAGGTTAGAGTCGACGATAAAGCGGTTCTTGCTGTGCCAAACGGAGTGGTGTTTCCAAATACCAAAACAGAGAAAAGAAGAAGTGTATAATGAGTCACGCTAAAGGCCCACGCACATTAGATCCGGATCGGACTAAAGCCCTACAGTAAAAGTATGGACGAACAAATTTTGGCAGACGTCCATACTTTTACTGTAGGGCTTTAGATCGGACGCGTTGCGGCAAAGTGACAGCTAAATCTATTGTCCAACTGTCAAATTTACGTCAACGCAACACAAACGGATCTAATGTGGGTGAAGCCAAGTTTACCTATTGCTCCGTCAAACCGGCTACCTATCGTGCAAATTAAATAAACATTACGATGCTATGGAACGTCCACGAAAGGTAATGCAATAATATATAAAATATAATTGAAGAAATGATCATAAACACGCAGTGAGCATACGTTTGGCAATGATCAGTATTGTTAATTTTTTATATTGTTTGTTAAGATAATTTGACAAAATCACTGATATAATGATTTACTACAGCAGCTATTTTTTTCTCTTGCTAGAAGTCATTTGAAGTTGATGCAGAAGTCATCTGTTGCCATGAGAAAAGAATGGGAATCTTTCGAAAACCGTGATGCGAGTTCAAATGTTTTTCTCTTGGCGTAACTCATTATACACCGATATATACAAAATAAAAGCATTTTAAGATTGCACTCGTATACCTCCCCGTGGAAAATTTTGAAACCATCATCACTTTCATAGTTCTTCTATTCTCCACGAGTGTCAACTTTGATTTGCCAATACAAGCTATTGTTGTGGTGTGCTTTGATCACTGCCAGTACTGCCGCTCATGGCAAGCCCGTCCCATTTAGTTTTTTTACGTCCGTTTGTATTGGTGGAAAATACATAACAAATCAAAAGCAAATTTTAATTATGTCGAATGTAACATTCGTACCGATCCGAGAAAAATAAAGTTTTGTTTAGAAAACCGAAAAGTTAACTTATTTCCAATTAACACATATCATCTCATAGTGATAGCAATGTTTAACATATTAAGCAGGGTTTTAATCATCATAGATCTAAATTCTTCATTATTGGTGATTTTAATTCAAAACACCGCTCATGGAATCATGCTCAAAGCAATTCCAATGGTAATATTCTGTTTGATGATTGTTCTGCAGGTTATTGCACTATTCAATATCCAAACAGCCCAACATGCTTTTCTTCTGCAAGAAATCCCTCCACTATTGATTTGGTCTTAAATGATTCATGTCAACTTTGTAGCCAATTGGTTACTCATACTGACTTCGGTTCTGATCACCTTCCAGTAACTTTTGAAATATCCCTAGAAATAATTTGAAATCCTAACAGCTCTTCTTTCAATTACCATAGAGCTGATTGGGAGTATTATCGAACATTTATGGAATATAACCTCGATCCAAACATTCCTTTGCAAACAAAAAATGCTCTTGAATCTCTGACTACTTCTATAGTTGAAGCAAGAGCTTCCTCAGTATTAAAATGCGAGGTTAAATTCGATTCAATTACAATAGACGACGATCTTCAGCTCTTGATCCGTCTCAAAAATGTCCGTAGGAGACAATATCAAAGAACACGCGATCCTGCCATGAAATTTATCTGGCGGGATTTGCAAAAACAAATTAAAAAGCGATTCTCTGCCCTGAGGAACAAAACTTTTGAAAATAATGTTTCTAAATCAGACCCGAGTTCCAAACCCTTTTAGAAAGTCACAAAATTTTTGAAAAAACCTCAAAAGCCTATTTCTGGGCTTAAAGAAGGTGGTAAAATTTTGATCTGAAAAAGCTCAGAAACTTGCTAAGCAATTCGAGAGTTCCCGTAAATTCAGTTTGGGTCTTACTAGTCCTATTGAGAATCAGGTTGCTCGGGATTATCTGAATATTTTCTCTCGGGAAAATATTCTTGATGATTCCTGGGGGACTGATTTGGACGAAGTATGATCTACAATTAAAAAGTTTCATTATACGAAAGCTCCAGGTGATGATGGAATTTTCTATATCCTCATCAAAAAACTCCCAGAGAGTACCTTGCCTTTTTGGGTAAAATTATTTAACAGAGTTGTTCCAAAAAATCCAGCTGAAGCTTCTAGCTACCGTCCAATAAGTTTGCTTTCTTCAATAAGTAAACTTTTTGAAAAGATAATTGTAAATAGAATGATGCTTCACATCAATACGAACTCAATTTTTGCAGACGAGTAGTTTGAATTTCGCCATGGGCATTCAACTACTTATCAACTCTTAAAGAGTTACCAATTTAATTCGTGCAAACAAATCTGAAGGCCACTCAACTGGAGTTGCTCTTCTAGACATAGAAAAAGCATTCGACAGTGTTTGGCATGAAGGTTTGATTGCTAAATTGAAAAAGTTTAATTTTCCACTTTATATTATGAAATTAGTTCAAAATTATTTAACTGACAGAACTCTGCAGGTAAATTTTCAAAATTCCAAATCTAATCGACTACCTGTTAGAGTAGGAGTTCCTCAGGGTAGCATTCTTGGGCCTATATTGTATTACATTTTCACTTCGGACCTCCCTGATTTGCCTCAGGGTTGCCACAAATCTTTGTTCGCTGACGACACAGGCAATTCCGCTAATGGAAGAAGTCTTCGTGTTATTTGCAGCAGACTGCAGAAAAGTTTAGATATTTTCTCTGCTTATTTACAAAAATGGAAGATTTCTCCCAACGCTTCCAAAACTCAACTTATAATATTTCCACATAAGCCCAGAGCTTCCTTTTTGAAACCTAGTAGTAGTCACATAGTCACTATGAACGGAGTTCCAATTTCCTGGTCAAACCAAGTGAAATATCTTGGACTAGGACTTGACCAAAAATTAGCTTTTAAAGATCACATGAGGGCATTCAAGCCAAATGTAACAAATGTATAAAATGTTTGTATCCTCTTATAAACAGGAAATCCAAACTTTGCCTGACGAATAAACTTCTAATATTTAAACAAGATTTTAGACGGGCCATGCTTTACGCTGTGCCAATATGGTCTAGTTGTTGCACTACCAGGAAAAAAGCACTTCAAAGAATTCAGAACAAAGTTCTAAAGATGATTTTGAAGTTGTCTCCCTGGTACAGTACTATCGAGGTACATAGAATTTTAAATGTTGAGACTTTAGAACAAACTTTTCAACAAAATAATTTATAATTTCAGGCAAAAATCGTTGCAATCCTCAAATGCAACGATTAATTCCCTTTATACTTAGATAAGATTTAGTTTTAGTTTTTAGTTTAAAGATTTCAATTGTTATACTGACATGCAGGTTAAAAAACCTGTTTAAAATACTGAATTGCCAAGGCAGGAACAATGTAAAAACACTTAGATATATATCATAACAATTAAGGCTGGTAAGTTACTGTAGTAATTGAAGCACCTAGGTTAAAATGAAATGTAATTTATTTTGAATTTGGAACAAATAAAGAGTTAAAAAAAAGGGTTTTAGTCATACAAAGCAGATCGCTAGCTTTCATGCTCAAAAATACTGGTTATACGTCGTTTGTTGGCCCCTAATGTTACTTAAGTCTAAGTGTATTTACCAGGATATTCGGGAGAATTATCATTCACGTCTCCTTACGTGCAGCCATTCATCATTTTAGGACCACCGAAATAATCTTAGCAACACAGTACATCTCCAACCCTCGTGTTCTAAGTCGTTAGCCCTCTTGTCCATCCACTTGTTTATCAATTGTTACCCCTAACCTAGCGCAAGCTGCAAATTAGCGGCCCCTTTTCTACTAACTTTGATTTTAAGTAATTTTGATGAACAAAAATTGAATTTCGGCTCCGTAATGGTACTGTGAATAAGTCTTGACTTATAAAAAACTATTTAAAAAAATTACTTGTTATTTCGAATGATGTAGGATGCGCCCTAAATCATCAAAAATGCTGCAATTGAAGAAAAATTTCCAGAAATATCAGTGTTAAAATGCAGATCCAATTGATCCCTTTTTACTGTACATCTTTTATGATTTCAGGCCCACGCGGGTTGCCGAACTCGCGGACGCAAATACTGGGCGTGAAACCACAAATCACTCGGAATTAAACGAATTAAAACGCGCGTCTTAACGATAAAACGACATGGTTTATTACTATCTTTTCAACAATAACAAACATAAAACAAGTTGAATCGACATTTGCTTGAAGGTATGCACAGGACCGGTAGCATCATAGTGTGATAGCTCTCGCTGTCAACTCGAGCCCAGTGGCGTGCGGATTTTGTAGGGGCCATTTCGCACTCCAACATCCCCCTCTTTTAATACAGACACGGTACGGATCGAACCAACGTGGCGGCCTTCGAAGTCTTGAAGAGCGGCGTGGCAGTACCTGTATCGGCGTAGCAGGTCCACTGCTGGCTGATGCAAACTCTAGAGATGCTGTGGACGTTGATGTGGACGAAGACAACACTGGCGTAGACAATCTTGGGCTACGAGCTGACTGAGCAGGAACCGACTGTTCTCCAGAAGGTTCTAGAGGTGACGATTCTTCGGGAGACACACATGGATCCGGCACTGGCATTGCCGGGTGCCTCGGTGTTGACGTTTCCGGAGCCGACGAGTACTTCGGTAGATCCCAGGAGTCCAGCAGAATCTCAAGTGGTAGCTTTGTTTTGTTAGGTCCTTGATTATTTGCAGGTTTCGTTTCAGTAACGCTGAAGCGGCTGCGTAGTTGATTCACGTGTGCTCGTATCAACGGACGATCCTCAACCCACACCGTGTACATGACATGGCCGATTCGATCGCATACCACGCCCGGGGCCCAGGCCACTTGTTGTTGTTGTAGATCTTCGTATACACAAGATCGTGTACAGCAAAGCATCGCTTATTCTGGTCTTCTTCTTGCTTGCTTGCTTGGCCTGATGAAACAGGCGGTGGACGAAGCAGATCCAAATTTGTTCGGATACGGCGCCCAAACATTGCTTCTGATGGAGACTTTCCATCGCCGACTTGCCGGTTTGACGTTGTGCGGTAGACCAACAGCAACACGTCCAATGCTTCTTGTAGCGTATTCTTCCCCTCTTGAATTTTCTTCACCGTTCTCTTGGAAGTATCCACGAACCTCTCCGCTTGTCTGTTGGATTGTGGATGAAACAAAGCCGTGGTTACAAGTTGAATTCCATTGTCAGCACAGAAATTCTGGAATTCCGCGCTCGTGAACTGGGTGCCATTGTCACTAACAACCACCTCTGGCATTCCAAGGCGGGCGAAAAGGCTTCTCAGGATGCTGATCGTTGCTGCTGATGTAATACGTCGCGTTTGAACAATCTCCGGCCATTTGGAGTACGAATCGACGGCTAGCATCATAGTGTGATAGCTCTCTCTGTCAACTCGAGCCAGCGGCGTGCGGACTTTGTACGGGCACTCCGCTTATTCCATTTCGCACTCCAACAACATCAAAATGGGTTAATTATTCATTGAACCGTGCACTTAAAAGTGGACATAATTTTGCTAGTCCTGGTTATTTTGCCCATATCCCGTGCTTATTTACGAAAGAGAACAATGCGTTTCCATTTGTTTCTTCTGATGCAATTGTATCTTTCTGTGGCTCATGTTGTAGCATGATACTACTATGGCCAGTGATGGCAAAAGTACATTTGCAACCATCATCCAGATCGACAGTCGTGTATAGAGATTTTCACGTCCGGTTGAATTGGTGTGATATGTGAGAGCGTGTTAGTGAATATCCTAGGAAAATACATAACAAATCGATGTCAAACTCATTTTGACAGATCTACTTTCATACATTTTTTAGGTTTGCCAGTGGAAAATAATAAACAACTTTACACGGCGTTGCTCCCGCTAGTGTGCGTGCGTTAAACGTCACTAATCTCTATATGTACATTTCAAGCTAAAAACGAAGATTGAGAATGGGAAAAATTTCGCAGCCCATTCTCTTGCAAACAGTTATTTGTTATTAAATTTTAGCTGCTACCTTGCGTGTGACAACTCCCCTATTTTCGCATAATTTTAAAATATATGCTTAAGAGTGGTTAGTCTCATTTTTATCTTTCAATTCCATACAATAAACATCAAATAAATGCAGTAATTAGCCCGAAATCAGCAACATTCCACATGACATACATGGTTTTGTCTGCTTCATTGTGAGAAAATGATCTGTCGCTGGCAAAAAACCAGTTCAAAAATGCCAATTCGTTATTGTGTGTCTTAACTATGGTCATTGCGAAAAGTATGTTGAAAACCAGTCCTCACGCCACCACTAACTGTGGCTTCTAAACAAAAATGATTTATAGTTTCTACAATTCTCAAAATTGGCAGGAGCAATGCTTTTAAGTGTTTTTAAATTAATGTACACCAGTTTATGTAGAAGGGCTGGCGTTATCAAAATAGTATATTTTATTATAAGCTGGGTGATGCGAAGACGGACCTCAAAATCGATCCAAATTCGAGCTGTCAAATCGAACCAATTTTCTACTCTCCCAGAGTGACGAAACGAATTTGCAGTCCATCAATATTAAAAATGTTCAAGCCCTTCTCAAATCATTTTATTAATAGTGGGATGCAGTAATAAAGTAAGCCACAAAATAACTTCTAATTTGTTTTTTCATCAAAAACTTGTTCATTTTGCTTCTCTCTATTAATTCATGATTTTACGAACGTAAACAAACAATCGAAGAGTTATGATTGAGCTTTACGCATAATACTGTTTGGTAGCGCTTGCTGCAAGCCGAAAATAGCACTGCCACACTGCATCACCAAGATTATAAGGTTATGATTATTAAAGACATAAGCGAATTAACTCACCGGTTCGCCATGTCCAATGTCATGAGCGAGTACGTGCTGCATCTTGGGTTCCGCTTCTTGATGCGCAACTGCGGCAGCTACCTCCTCGACAGCGCGCTGCACTGCTTCATCGTCAACCGTCGGCAGGGCGGTGGATTGTGGGCTGTTACTGAAATATACATTTCTACCAATACATATTTGGAACCACCCAGCATAACCTTTCGCTTCTACTTACGTGATGGTAACCTCTTCCGTGTAGTCACGCGTTGCTTCCGTGTCTTTTTGGGTTTCCAGTTCAGTTTGTTTCTGAGTCTGGGGCTGTTCGGAAACTGGAATCTGGGTTTGTGCCTGTGGCTGTTGTTGTGGCGGTTGCGGTTGCTGCTGCTGTTGCTGCTGTGGCTGTTGCTGCTGTAGCTGTGGCTGTGGGGGCTGTTGCTGTTGCTGAATCTGTTGTTGCTGTTGCTTGTAGGCAGCTTCCATTTTCTTGGCTTCCAAGCGCAACTTTTCCTCGCGAATCTTTTCACGCTCTTGGGCACGTTGTTCCTTGCGTTGCTTTTCGGCAATTCGTTGACGCTCCTTTTCGCTGACTTTGCGTTCAATTTCCATGCGGTACTTGTCGAGAATGGCTGCCTCGGCGTCTTCCGTCATGGCGAGCATTGAACCGGGCGTTTCATCCTTGGAGCGAAGGGCTTGAATGTAGTCATCCATTAACTGGGACAGCTTGGTCGAAAGCTCAGGATAACGCTTGAGCATTGACATAGACTGGTTTACGGCACGGTCAATATCAACAAGGCGCTCCAAAGTGCGGGGTCGTTCCGAGGCAGCTGCTTCCAGTCCGCCAGCACCTCCCGAACCTAACAGATGGCGGTAGTGTGACAAAGCGTGGGCACGATCCTTGTGGAGAGCACGGAGCAACTTCTGGAGACATTTCTCGACGCGGTGAGCCTGGAAGAAAGGTTTATTAAATAAGTCAGTCTGGTTACGATTCTGAAAAGTGAGACTAGATTTTACATTTGGTGGTTGTTCGGTGAGTGCCTGAGTGTAGCACGTCATTGCTTCCCGTTTACGTTGGTTGATGTGGGCCAGGACACGCTGTTGGTGCATCGCTGCCAGTTGGTGTTTCTCGGAGTTGCCTTCCTCTTCAAGTGCCTGCACAGAAGTCTAAAAGGTTACAAATACATTCGGACGTTCATTACAACTGTTGAAACTCATGTCAATGTTTTCGAACTAATAATTGTCTCATTCCAGTTGCTACGGTGGTGTTATACTAGTGCATTCAACTACTGAGGAATTTGCAACTACGGGTGTAGGTTTGGAAAATCTATGACATGATTTTGCATCAGACTGAGGGTCTTGTTTGTTACCTGGAATCTAGCAGTCATTCGTTGCTTGAAGGTTTGAGCTGTTTTCGGGTCAGCAAGGCGCATGTCCTGGTATTTCTCCTCCAAATCCGACCAGTCCTTCATCACTCGGGTAACCTTCTCGCGATGGCTTTCCTCGAGCCTCTGTTGTGCTTCCTGGAATTCAGCGTGCAAACTCTACGAACAGTATATATTACAACGAACTTATCCTACAAACCTTGAAACTCTGGTGCTCATAGCGTGGGTCAAAGTGGGTGAAGTACGGATCCGGAGTCGGGATGGCAGTGATCGGTGTTGTTGGGATCTCAGTCTGCTTTTCGGTGGTACTTGAAGCTGTTGTAGTGTAAGTGTCTTTTTTGTCCTTTGAAAACAGTGGCATTGGAGTGCTGAAGCTATCCCATGCTGCAGATCCTGTATCCGGTTCCTTGTCGGCATCGAAGTCCTCTTCAGAATCATATTCATCATCGTCGCTTTCAATTGGTTCATCTCCCAGCATATCTTCATCCTCGTCATCATCGATATCGTCCTCATCGTCATCATCTTCGGAGTTGTCGGCATCGGCGTCATCTAATGCGGGTAGCACTTCACTTTCCTGCGGCAACACCGGAAGGTCGGTCTTTTTCACTTTCATCGGAACTATAAGAAAATGGGCGAAACGCAACAAAAAATCTCATTAGCACGATTACGATCGGAACGGTCTACATTAAACGGTAAAACGTTTCTCATTAATCAGTTTCACATTCACTCTCGTGCTCGCTTCCGTTGCAGAATAAGAGGACGCTTTATCAATCTCACTCTAAATAAACTTTCGCTGGTAACCGCAGTCCGTAAATATGCCCACCAAAAAAACCTTAAACAATCATCAGGACCGCATTTTGCCTTTGCCATATTCCGTCGCGCGGAATGTCTCAATGAGCCCCAAAACTCAATAATGACCTCAATAAAAATGTCAAGAACATTAATCGTCGTCGTCAAGGACTGAGTTCCACATTCTCGATGGTTATCCCCCTTTTGAAACAGTGAACCTTTTAGCAAAGCACGCAACAAAAAAGAAAAAAAATGTTGCAGCCCAGCGGCACTTTCGGACGTCAATGGCCGGCTTTGGAAAATTCAATGGGGAGACCGCTCTTTGAGAGTCTACACAATTTAGTAGATGGAAAATAGCTTCGATTCTAGTTCAGCCTGCGATTTTATTTTCGGTAGTGTTTTCCCCAAAAACACACACATACACACGAAAGAAACATGTTTATCACTCTTCTGAACAACATGATGTTCAAAAAAACAACCGGATCGTTCTGCTTCAATAAATTCCACGTAGACCTACCAACAGCGAAGGTTTGTGCTTTGTTAAAATTTTGGCTACTGGTACTAACGAGGAAGGTTCAGGGGCAGAAGAGGGTGCGGGTGAAGGAGTGGCTGCAGCGGAAAGCCATTTGTTATTATCACCTTCCACGGTTTCGGAAACTGCATAGCACAGTTTCCTTTTGCGCGGCGAAAAGGTTGATAACTTTTTACGACTAGCGAGTGTGGAAAACCTGCAGCACTGAGCTGCGGTGCGGTGGTTTGTCCTCCAAGGGTGCAAATCGATGAAGGCTCATTCGGGAAGCACCGCGAGCAGGCAGTTGACTGTTGTTCGTTGGAAAGTGCCAATTGAGTATCATGGAGTGTTGGGTTATTGCGTCGTCCTAAGAGGGGTTGAACAGCTTTATTATCGTGAACTTTAATGTCCTAATTCAGAAGGGTTGACATTCGGCGACCTATCGCAAAACAGTGATTCTTTGCGTGGGAGAAAGAGCTGAGCGTGAGTTTCGTAATATTGCTCAGAGCTTATCGACTTTTTATATTATTTAGCAGATTTTTTTTCTCCCTATGACGTCATCGGCAGTATGACTTCATTGGATCCATAGATGAAGTTTTCCCGTTTGATAGCACTCCCAGTTAAGGTGAAAGTGACCTAGTGAGAAAATAAAAAAAAAAAATTAAAAATCGCTTTCACTGAGACATTACTGCAGATTGCAAAAAGCTTTCGTCGATGATTTCCATTTATTATTTCGTTTTTCATCGAGTGCTAAGATCACAAGCTTTGTTTTATAATTTACATAAAGTTTGGGTGAGCTCGGAAAAAATAGGAGCTCGTCGGTTTTGATAAATTTTTGGTATGTACATTCTTTAAGACGTCTATGATGCTCCCGTCCTGGGTTTTAGTCCATGTGATCTATCAGATTAACCTGAATAGGCATGATACTCAGTCATGTTCAAAAACCTAAACGCATTATTAGGAAATCATGAGATGTTATGATGATATTTTGCACTTGAAAGATACAAGACGAGATCGTAAAGTATGTGTTTGACACATAAAACCTGTCAATTTTGATTTTAATCAAAAGATTTTAAAAGCGGCAGACGTTACAAAAGGAAAAAAAATGGAAGAAGCAAGGGAGTGAAGGGCACGTATGAAAGCGGATGCTAAACTCAGGTCGCCTCCAAGGAAGAGTAAGAATAACCCATAAACTATGTCTCTCTTAATATTTGAATGCAATCATTAAATTTGTGTAATGGCTCCGTGGAGTCCTTTTGGATATTTGAGCCTAACAAATAAAATATTGAACAAATATTTCGTACGGACCAGAAAACCAGCAAGTTGCTCTACTTGTATTCTAAAGTATCTGTTCATATTTGTGTTGCACACGAAAGTTTCGTATTATTTTATGAATCATTCGTTTGCAATACGAAATAAAATCAGTGTGGCATTTATAACGAAACTAGCTTCATTCGTGGATCACACGAGCAATTACCTTGAATAAAACAAATTTTATTTTCAGTTTGAAAATATATGCTCTGTCTGAATCATGAAAAGTTTTCCGTGCATCCGACACGTGGGCGTGGACTTGTATTTACATTGGAAATCGAGGATTTATTTTAAAATCCACGGAGAAACGAAAGCACTCAAAATTGACATACACACTACGAAAAAGTCGTGTTCGGTTCCCTGAGCTCGACACATGTAAGCGGCCCTTTTGACATAAGAATCAGTTGAATGAAACGAGCAAAACAATTTAATCAAACGTTCTCTTCGTCCGCTTGCTTATGTTTCGGTTTGAGGGCATTTAATTTTACATGAAATGTTTGTTTAAGTTCCATGATTTACGTTCAATATGGACTACTTCTCGTTTATATGTTGTTATTTATAAGTGTGTAGAAAGAACTTAAATATAAGTTTTCCCCTAACACTACTGTTCTGGATACAATTCTGATCTCATGATAAGTACTTTTAACTTAATCTTGAAGAAAAACCAAAACATTCACTTTTACTTTGATAATCGATGTTGAGTTGTTTAGTCTAGAACCATTCATCATCCTTGCAACATAAATCGATTCAACCAAGAAGGTAAAAAAAAAGGCCTGCATCAGCCAGCTGACGATTACACAATTAGTGAAGTGCACCATCACCAAAACACTTAGAAAAAATCTTGTAAATTTAGGTGCTCTGAGACTGACATATACGAGCGTCAATTTTGACATAGCATTGAATCACAACAGAAGCGAAATTCAGTTAAATCAAACGTACTTTTTGTCGAATAGCGAACTATTCTTAGAGAACTTAATACTACATGAAATGTTTGTTTACGCCCCATCCTTTATGAGAAAGATGGATTCTGTCACGAGTAAAATTAGTTATTTCTAAGTGTGTAGCATCTGAGGACATTGGATCACTGCTTTGCGTCCTGATTGATTTATTGTTCTCATCTGTTCTTACCACATAAATACAGTTTGCATCGGATGAGACAATCAGCTGCAGTCTGGGGAGCCGAGAGCGGATACAAAGGGAAAGCAGATTGCCTTCACCAACTCGGTAGATTCTTAGATCAACGCGATGGATCTATGTCAAATGGTCCTAGGTCCATGGGTCGATAGGTAGGGTCCAGGTGTGGGATCTGCTTTCGGTAGCATTGGTACTCCGTACGAAAAACAAATTAATCAAGTAAAAAACACGCAAAATTACACATTTGTCTGCGGTCTCAATTTTGAAGTGTCTAGCTTCAAATATTTTCATGGGAAGAGATCTCGAAAATTTACCAAATTCCTAATTGTATTAAATTTTATTCTTTGTCCGTGGCCATGTCAGAAGTTAAAAAAAAAATCTTAGTCCGTAATACATGTCTTGATCATATTTCTACGTACGAGATCTTTGAATTTATCGTATACTGACTCTGCATGTTTTCATTATTAAAAAGTTTATCTAACCCGACAGTTGTCTTGCTACAGTCAGTGGTAGTTCCATATCATATCATATCAATTCGTCCAGGCTGTGTCAATTATTTTATTTTTTATAAGTTTATTTTCAGCTCTTAGAGAAAAGAAAATAATTAAGAACAAATTCACTTTTGTTAGCGTTCGTTTAGGCTGGATTTATTTATTTAAACTATTTAAATTTATTTCCAGTTCGTCGATCATGGAACATATTCAGATTAAATTTAGATTGCTTCATACTGTTTAGCCTTTGATGAGGCTGAATTTATTTGTTTATTTGTTTATTTTTTCGTCAATCAAAAACGTATACTCCTACATAATTACATCACAGTGCTTGGAAACATTTTTTAAATTTTAGCGCAGGCATATTTAGGTCTATCATTTTACAATGTAGATTATAAACAGACATTATCTGACATATCGTTCTATATTTTGCGTAGTTAGTGCGGTGGCGATTTACCACGAACAAATCTAGATAGAGCTGGAATTAGGGCGTAACAGCTTCTGTAAACAATGACTTCTTTCGATGATTTCTAGTAAATCAAGGCTCACCAACGCAAATCAACATCACCATCGGGTAGGGGACGACTTCCTCTACCCGAAGGTTATGTTAGTTTGCGTGGGCGTTCCTTGAATTCCTAGAAATCATCGAGAGAAGTCATTGTTTACAAAAGCTGTTACGCCCTAATTCCAGCTCTATCTAGAAATGTTGATTGCGCAATTGGCGAGAAGGTACATAAACATTAAGTCTTGATAATAAATAAGTTGCGAAGCGATATTGTTCACGGAAGAGACCATAATCCCGACGCTCTTTCAATATCTGAATGTTGATTAGCAAGCAACGTGCTTCATACGATGGGAGAGGAAATGCTGTTCATCCCAATTTACGTAGTGCATATAATAGAAACTGTTTTGGGATTGACTGTATTCGCTCTTCATGCCTTTTCATATAAGGTGACCAAACAACACTGCAATATTCTAATATTGACCTCACATAGTGTTTTAACTGTGTAAGGATTTTTAAAGTAGAAACCAAAACGCTTTATAAAATTGAGCATTTAAAATATTGCCCGTTCTATGAACTATTGTATTAAAATGATCCACAGATGTTTTAGAATCTTAAATAACTCCTAAATTTCTTATTTTATCTTTGAACAATTTGATTACCTAATAAAATACGAATATCTGGTTATTTTTATCTAGTTCGTTTATTTGTAAGGCTCAATCGCGTTACCTTTACGGAGCCGATAATTCATTGTTCTTTGTTTGTAACAAAATTCACTTAATTCTATGTCTAGTAGGAGTTTGGCCGAATACTCGCGGCTTGCTCGAGGTTAGAGGGGTACATTGTCGAAGGATAGGAAAAGGGGAGGAGCTTTTGGTAG